AGATTATACGTAAAGGGGGACAGAAAATGAAATCTGACCTTTCCATGTTAAACTCCTATAATTATATAATATAATATCATTTGTCAGGGTCCGTTTTTATAGCGAAAGATATGCAGTCTTATGTTAAAACTTTTATATTTGACAATAAGTGTTTTGTTCTACAATTTATTTAAGGCTAACAGTTGTGAACTTTTTACAAAAAGAAAAGGAAATATGAGAACATTGTAACAATTATGTTTATTGTGTTGTTTATTTGAATAGGACAGCATGTCTGAACAGATCATGATTTACCATGCTAGATGAGTTGATTCAAAGACCCTGCTAAGGCAAGTCATTTCACTTTGTGACCATCTCTTAGAATGAGCAAACAATAAACTCAAGCATAAAACAGAACAACTCTCTCATAAATTCTGTTGCCCAAACTAAAACCATAGGGAATACATTCACAACACCAACCTCCTTTACGGCTGTTTCTGGAGGATGCAATCAGACATCATCCTTCCAAGCTGTTGTGGTCATTAGCTGGAGTACCCATCAGACTCACTCCAGCTATATAACCTCTCAACCAGCTATTCACCTGGACTACATCTCCCATTGTGCTTTGCATCTCACAGCTGAAACAGTTTACTAATATGTACACTGACACACACAGCTGCTGATCGAGGATTTCGCCTGAGTTTTCTTCTTTTTTCTTGGACTTTTTCTTGTTTGCTAGATACCCTGACCTCTGTCTGCCTGTTGAATAGTTTGATTACCCTTTATATTGTCGTTTGCACTTGTCTAAACCTCTTTCTTCCAGACCATTCTTTTTAATAAAGCTGCAAGTGGAACTTTACCTCTATTGCAACTATGCAACTATGTTGGGTTTGAATGCCAGGCATTTAAAAAATGTTGTGAAGATTAAATTAAATGGACCAAGTCCCTGTCCCAGAGAATCGACAGTTTATAGTGATTAATGATGGGCTCCTTTGGACTGCTCTATTTGTCCCCATTCAAAACTATTCAAGTGAATATCTTATGCATTCTGTAGTTCATGTTTACTCAACTTTACTCAACAACATATGCATAAATACTATAGATCTACCAACCATTGGTTCAGTCTAAAAGTTGTACTGTAACTTCTTCCTCTCTCTCACTGTTATTTTAGCTGCCTGACTTGAACAAGGGTTGGAGAATGAAAACTTAAACACTAATCAATTTAGTGCTGGAGGTTTTCTTAGCTAGATTTAACCAGCCTGGTGGCCAATCTTCATTGAATGCACATTCCACCAAGAAGAGCAGTATATGATAGTTTAACTAGCAGAGTAAAATCACAGTTTTACTTAAAACACTGCAATACACATCTCACTGGCTCATCTGTAACCAACACAGCAAGTCTTTGTGATGTATCAAGAGCCACGGTACACAGGGTAATGTCAGCATACCACCAAGAAGGACAAACCACATCCAACAGGAGAAACTGTGGATGCAAGAGAAAGCTGTATGAACAAGATGTCTGGGTGCTTTCCTGGCGTATATATCCAAAAAATAAAATAAAACTAAAGCTGTCCAACTCGCAGTAGAATTTAATGTGCACCTCATCTCTCGTTTTGGAAGCTCCTCAGGTTCAATATACAGTACATGGCTGGGCTGCTATAGCTAAACCTTTGGTTACTCGTGTAATGCTAAATGTCGGTTAAAATGATGTCTGCAGTGAAAATTTTAATCTGTGAACAATGTAAAACATGTATTATTCTCTGATGAGTCCGCCTTTTCTGTCTTTGCACCATTTGTGAGGTTTACGGTGTGGAGAAGCCTGAAAAAATCATCCCTTGGCCCAATACTTGAACTAGATGGATTAAACAATTCCGGAGGATTATGTGGACTGAATGGTTCAAACATTGTATTATGAAGGCAGTGTCGTGTATTAGGATGATAATGCACCAATACACACAGCAAGTTTAACATGTCTCATGGTCAGCACAATCACCAGATCTAAATATTATTGAGCCACTTTGGGGTGCTTTGCAGGAGTGAGTCAGGAAACCAGGTGCAAGTTTCATTAACCATTATCACTTAGTTACCCATGGTTACTATTCTGCAAGAAGAATGGCTCAAAATCCCTCTAGCCACTGTGCAGGATTTGTATCTGTCATTCCGAAGGCAGACTGATGCCACCCCTTTACTTTGTTGTTTCTGGAATATCAGAATAATGTAAAAAGGCTCTGCCCTCTTTTAGAAAGCAGCTGCTCATTTGCATTTAAAGGTACACACTACATACACAAAAAAAATGTGTTTTTGCTCAAACCCAAATAGACAAAAAAAATACTTGAGTGTTTTAGTAGAACTCTCCAGAAAAATTTTGGGGACATAAGATATTTATTTTACATCTTATAAAAAGGTGTATAACATGTCCCATTTATGTGTATGCAATTTCTCCAGATTTTATCTTGAGAAAGCATTTGCTTTGTAAGATTTAAGTGTTTTCATTGTTAATAATACAAAAAATCAGTTTTTACTAACCTGATCTTAGCTTTGTTTAATCAAACGAATTTGCTCTTTAGATTATTTTACTGAGCTATTGTCCTCTTTACTGAGAATGAATTTGTCCTCATTAGAGCTTGTTTTGCAGGTTCACAAGTCATATCATTGGCCAGCCTATATGACAAGGGTCCCGTCCTGAGAGGAGATCCTTAATGACGAAATGGCCCTCTGGACGAACAAAAACCAACCATGCATCACCTGAGTTTTTTGCCCTGGAGAGAACAGATAATACTTAATCTGGCCAACCTCATTATGGCTGTCCATGTTTTACTGGCTCCAGCGATAGTGCAGAATTTTCTATCGCTTGCCTTAGTTATGATGAAAAAGTGTCCACCTAATATTTTTTTTCTCTACAGGAGTATGTGTGGAGGTTATTAACTGCTTTAATTCCTAATGATGGCTGACAGGTGCTCTTCTTGGTGAGATTAAGGACTGGGTGGGTTAATGATGGGATTGGCGAGATTGTCATAACTCACAATAGGACCATTAAAGTGATATTACGAAGAGGGCTGCTGCTGATATGTGTTTAACTCTAGCAAGGTGGCACCAGGCAATCTGTCAATTTTTTTTCCTCTTTATGTGATTTTCTCGCCTGCAGGGCCCAGTCTTAGATGTGCAGAGAATGTCAAATAATACTGGACAGGAAGATCGGAAGGGGGAATTTAAGTGGAAATGAGACTGAGAGAAGGTACATGAAAGAACTATAGACATAAATAGAGTTATGGAAGATGCAACAACATGCAGAGCCTAAATATGCATTTTTAATGCTAATAATACTATTAAAGGGCCATTTTAAAGAATGTATCATTAAATAATTCTAAAATAAGGATATCGTCAACATTAGGTTCTATTTGCATTCTGAATGATTTTGAGATATTGAGCTTCATAGTTTTTGCATTCCATACAGCAAACAGTATGTGTGTAACATTAGTTTTTTTAAATAAAAATATCTTAAAATAAAAAAAGTTAAGTGTAAATATTCCTAGTAGTAGTACTATGTATCATAAAAAAATTAATAAAAAGAAACCAATAATAATAAAAAACTATTAATAATTAACATATATAGACAACAATAATTTCAAGAAAAGAAACATTCATATTCTAATGTGAAATTGTTTTCCAAAAATGCACTGGATCAAGTGCTCTGAATCAAGAAGGCTGTATGAATGCTCTTTGAATCGTTTTCTGGGGAACTTTATATCTCTATGCTCTTTGTGTTGTTTTTCCATGGATAAAACTGGACAAAGAAAGACATTTTCCTCCACTAAGGGACCATCAATCATCTCCAAGTATCCAGATACCACAATGGTGAACCAGTGAAGACATAAAAGCTGAGAGCCATTGCACTGCAATACTGCCCTCTATTGGTATGACCGTTTGCTTCAGTACAAAAGAACAAAGGAAAGCACACAAAGGACAGTAAAGAATGTGTACTACTGATATGAAGTGACCAAAGTCGACCTTTAAAAAGGGACTGTCCATGTTTTGTCCTTTTCTCTGCTTGACCTTTTGTCTCTGGATACTCTTAGACCTTTGAACAATTTTAACACCAAATTCATGAATACTATTTTTAAATGCATCTTGGTTTTAAAAACTTGATCATTTTTTTATCATTCCACACATCACAAATTGTGTGAACAGCCAGACAAATCATGTTCGGAATCTTTTGTAGAGTAAAAATGCTATATCAGGCATACTATATGCATCACTTAGTAAAATTATTAAGAACACAGACAAATAAAACAGTAAAGTTTGATGTATGAAAGTTGTTTAAACATGAAAATATACAGTATGGCTCAGAAGAAAAAAACTTATAAAGAGAAATCAGCCTTCATTCATTCATTTTCTTTCCAGCTTAGTCCCTTTTTAGGGGTTGCCACAGCGGAATGAACCACCAACTTATCCTGCATATGTTTAACGCAACGGATGCCCTTCCAGCTGCAAGCCATCACTGGGAAACATCTATACACATTCCTTAGCACGCGTATGGACAATTTTAGCTTTCATAACTCAACTATACACCATGTTTTTGGACTTGTGGGGGAAACCGGAGCCCCCGGAGAAAACCCACGCGAACACTGGGAGAACATGCAAACTCCACACAAAATAACATTGAACATATGCATTAAAATTTAATCTGCAAGCTCAAATTGATACAAATGAGGAAAAACACTTCCAATGTCTTTTGGAAGTTCAGATGTTATATCAATAAATACTAATAAAAACCAAAAAGTCCAAAATCTCAGAATTAACAGGTGCATTAAAAGTACACTGCAGGGTCAAATTGGTGTCATTTATTAATAATAAATGGCTTTAAATTGGATAGTTATTTATATTAAAAAGTACATAGAACAGTATCATGCTGTGTTGGAGATTATGATAAATATACCACATATGATTATGAAGTGACATCATGGAGGTAAACCACAATGAAACCACTTTGACTGCAGGGCAAAGCTATAGTCGTATGACACACAAGCCACATTAAAGCCACTCTAACCAGCTAGTTTACATGCAAACCACTCCCAAATCACCTGTGAACGTGTCTCCTTTACTTTATTTTAATCTCTCTTCAGTGTTTTCCCCTGTATATTGCTCATTTGCCAACTCACTCCACAGAGTTTAGATCTATTACTGCACTTTGGATCAAAACAGGTGGGTTGCTTTTACGGAATCAAAACACAATTAGTTTTAATTAGTCACTTACAACATACTGTATATTATGTGTGGATGCATGCACTGAAGAGAATTAAAATATCAAAGCTCAGCTGTGATTTATTGACATCTATCGCTTCATTACAGATTAAAATGGGCTGCTTCACATTTGTCAAAGCTCTGATGGTCATGTTCAACTTGCTTATCTGCGTAAGTATGCCTTTTTTCCTCATTAAATGTATAAATTTGAGTGCAGCGAGAGGGGTGTTTGAAAGAATAATTGCGTTTCTTTATTTATTGACTGAGACTTTTATGTGGGGTGTAAAGAATGAAATAGATTCAGCCTGCCTCCGAATGAGGAACTAATAATTTATCCTCTCCTCTTTACAACAAACGTGCATGGTACACACATAAATTGAACAAATGTAAAACGATAACATGAGTCCATTAGAAAATGCTTCATGGTGAAGTCTTGATAATCACAGGCAAAGTGTGAACGTGAGTAAAGTGTTCGCGCTTGCTCATATGCAACAATTTTCATCTCATTATATTGCTCTCGGCCACTTTGTTTGAGAACTGAAGCCTGCAAGCAGTTGAAATGATGGGTATGTTGGGTTGCTTGGTAGGACAGGAGATTTTTAAGACTGTACAACAAAGGGAAGCATATATAAGCGAGTGCCATATTTCATTTAAAGCATTGCTTGAGGAGAACACTGTTATTTTCTATTTGGTGAACAATTTATCTGATCTGCAACTGACTTATCAGTCTTGATACTTGTCATGGTCTGTAGAGGACAAAACTGGCATTACGTAGGTTATACGGAACAAAGGGTCAAGGCTTTCTGCAAAGATTTCATTCTGTGTCAATTAAAGGCAGATAAATGAGAAATACATGAATAGGTATGCTATTCTTTTTTTGGACAAAATATCGGCATAAATTAATGAGTGTCAATCCATCTTAAGTCTGACAGTGAATCAAAATCAAGTTGTGGGTCAACAAAATTTAAACTAATTTATTTTTAAAAGGAACTTTCTTTATTTTACTAGAAATATGTTGATTATACCTACAAAATAGTAGTGCCATGTGTGTAATAGCTTTAATAGCTTGTTCATGAAATACATGAACTATCATTACCTAAAAGAATTTTACTGTAAATTGTTATAATTCATTCATTATTTTCCTTAGGCTAAGTTCCCTATTTATCAGCAGTTGCTACAGTGGAATGAATCGCCAACTAATCTGGCATATGTTTAATGCAGCAGATGCCTTTCCAGCTGCAACCCGGTACTGGGAAATAATTCACTGAAAATTAAAAATGATCCCAAAATGCACTGGCTCTTAGGTGTATGTGCTATTCTTTTCTCTTTTTTTTTTCAAGTTGAACAAAATCAGAGTGTTATTCCATAATATCTTCTCAGCTTTACAATGGCAGTATTTTGTACAAAAAGCTCAATAAACCTCATCCAACCCACATAAAAAGTTTTCCACTTGTAGACGAAAAGATTTCATTATAATTTTCTTTTGAAGAGATGCATTTTTTGTAAAAAACCTTATCTGCAATTAAAACTTTATAAACGTTATAATGGACTACCAACAATGGACTACCAACAACTGTTGTGTACGTTCATGAGACAACAAATATGGCAGGGCAAAAAGCCACAAGATCATTTTCTAATACATCAAAAACATTTAGCTTTAAAACCTATTTTACATTTCAACATATTCAACATTTATCAGAAATGGTTCTTTTATCTATGCCAGCATGGTGGAATTCCCCGTTTGTATTGTCAATTTTTTACCAACCATTTTAAATTGACTCTCTTTCCTATTTGTTGTCATTCATTACTTTTTTGATGAAAGAGTGTGTTTTTTGAGGCTTTAAAACATGGCCACTGCCATTACAGAGTTGGGAAGAGACAAGTTTTATTTAATATAACTCTGATTGTGTTTATCTGAAGGAATACATTTTTATCTATGGCTTGAGGGTGAGTAAATTATGGACGCTGTGTACGTTTTTGCAACATTTCTGAAATACATACAGTAACTTACATTATGTTATACATTTCAGATACAGTGCTCAGCATAAATAAGTACACCCCATTTTGAAAATGAATATTTTTATACATTTTTCAGTGAATATGGGTAATATATATTAGAGTATTTGAACAAAACAGATTTATTAAACGGATATATTTATTAAAATAATATTTTATTTACAGAGCATCTTTAGAAATTGAAAGATAATACATTTAAATTAATATAAAATATTGCAAAAAAAAATTTATTTAAAAATATTTAATATTGTTTCACCATAAAAATTGGCTATTGATTTTTTAGTCATTATTGTAAATTATTATGTTAGATTAGCTCCAGATTAGGCTTCAGTACTGACTAATCTAATGTTTATGCACAAATATAACATTGTAAAGCATCCTATAGAAAATATTAATTTAAATGAGAGATTTGTGGGGGGTGTACTTAAAGATGCAGGGCATATATAAGCGACCACATAAATGTTACTTTGATTTTACATTGCTTTTTTACAGAGCATCTTTAGAAATTAAAAGATAATACATTTAAATTCATATAAAATATTGCAAAAAAATATATAATTTTAAAATATTTAATATTGTTTCCCCATAAAAATTGGCTATTGATTTTTGAATCATTATTGTAAATTATTATGTTAGATTAGCTCCAGATTGGGCTTCAGTACTGACTAATCTAATGTATATGCACAAATATAACATTGTAAAGCATCCTATAGAAAATATTAATTTAAATGAGAGATTTGTGGGGGGTGTACTTATAGATGCAGGGCATATATAAGCGACCACATAAATGTTACTTTGATTTTACATTGCTTTTATCTCTTTTATAGAATTACAAATCATATAATGCATTTAAGTCCTCTTGGGGTGGAATGCCATAAACAGGCCCATTTGACCAAATCCTCCAGATAAACAAAATATCCATTATGCCCAAGAGAGTTGACAAACCCTGTTGCATTTTCTATTATTTATCAAAGGTTGGTACAATGCCATTGAACGAGTTACTTGAATGCACCGGACATTGTTTTAACGACTTTTCAATTCATCAGCTCAAACAAATGATTATAAAATACAACAAGGTTTGTTAACTCTTTGGTATATTGGATATTTTTACCAGAAAGATTTGGTCAAATGCGCCGGTTTATGTTCCTGCATTCCACTCATGTCAGTCATGCACCAGAATGGATCTTATTGTGGCTTTATGGGCTTATTTTGGCTTTCTTTGCAGCTGCTGTTGTTACTTTATCTTTTTTTTTTAACAAGAATCCAGGCTTTGTCAGTATTTTTATGTTTTGGGCAGTTGTTTTGACTGAAAATCAATTTTCTTTGTTCTTATGTATAGGCCTTTACTTAAAGCATTAGCAAAGCAAACACTGCTATTTTCAGACAATATATTTATAATGTATAATGTAGTTATTATGTACAATATCTCTTCATACATTGTGAGGAAGCCTGATTTGTTCATTCATTGGTTTGGATTGGGGAGAGGCAGTGGCGCAGTAGGTAGTGCTGTCGCCTCACAGCAAGAAGGCCGCTGGGTCGCTGGTTCGAACCTCAGCTCAGTTAGCGTTTTTGTGTGGAGTTTGCATGTTCTCCCTGCCTTCGCGTGGGTTTCCTCCGGTTTCCCTTACAGTCCAAAGACATGTGGTACAGGTGAATTGGGTAGGCTAAATTGTCCGCAGTGTATGTGTGTGAATGTGTGTGTGGATGTTTCCCAGGGATGGGTTGCGGCTGGAAGGGCATACGCTGCGTAAAAAAACTTGCTGGATAAGTTGGAGGTTCATTCACTGTGGCGACCTCGGATTAATAAAAAGACTAAGCCGACAAGAAAATAAATGAATGAATGAATGGTTTGGATTGCTTTGGTGACTACAAGTGACTATAAGTAACTGCTCCAGAGTGTGTTTTCAATTAGACTGAGACTACTTCATTCAGGGGTCTGTTCTTCGTACCTCGCTTAAATGATCTAAGATGATTTGGCAGATCCTGGATCTTTTAATCTTGATAACTGATCTCTCGCTAATTTGGTTCTCCAAACAAGTTCGCGAATCAGATTAGAATATCTGGATGAACTGATCTGAGATCGCTGCGTTTGTTGTTAAGGACAGATCTATCGATCCTCGAAATCATGATCAGCAATGCAACGATTGGCTGACGGCACAGCAGCGTAATGACATCATCTGATTAATAATTAATTATCCATGTGAGCAAAATTACATCAAATTAGCAGTAAACGGCTTGTTAAATATGACACGCAGTAACTTCACATTTGTTGTGAGCGGCAGGCTTTACACTTTCATTTGTCAAGACAAGAGTATTCATCATGTATTTCAATGCAAATCAATGTATTTAGTTCTTCATTTAGAAAAGATTTTCTTTATTATAGTAACCGTTTTTTAATCGGTGTAAAGAATAACTGGTTGTTTCCAAAAGCATTTTGATATTGGTAAAGGCGTCTGCAACTTTTGTGAAGCATCACTGGCATATTAACTGTCAAAACATGTTTATGACTGCATATATGTATTATTGCTTTAAAAAAAGTCACATATTGTGCATTTCTATTATACACAATTTGTACTAAAGCGATCTAAAAAGTTCATATCAATAAGTTTTCTCTTTGCACCACCAGGTGGCAGTCTTTGTATTTTCATTTCGAGGGTGCAGATTGCATACGTTTTATTAATATGTATAACTTTATTTATTTTATTAATGACTATAACTTTTATATATATAGTTAAAAAATATTTACTATTTTCCCAAGTGTATATAACTTTTACTGTAAGAAAATATCAGAACTCGGTACATACTTTCTGTATTATCTTTGCTTGAACTGAGCCGATCTAATCCTGTTTATATGATTTGAACCTGCTCCCGATCAGGTTTGACCTAGCAGATCTGTTGCCATGACAACAACTCTCGGATCAGCTTTGAAGAACGAAACGATCCTGGATCGTGTCAAATCGTCAATATCCAAATCCAGCTAACTGAGTAATCCACATACGAAGAACGGACCCCAGGTGATCTCAGTACATGTTATTGTCTACTTTATATGGAATTTAGGCCAATGCATTCAATTGCAAGAAAAAAATGAGCACCCATATAGCTACAATAACCTTTATAACCTTCAAGTTGCATTTCCAATTTGCTAATATGCATCT